TCACGCTGGGCAGAGGGTGGCGGGGACAGCTATGCCACAGTACAAAGCTTGGGTGATTTTAGATCAGATGCATTAGATAGGAAGGGAATTACTGCTATGGGATAGCTTCTAAAAACCCCTCAGTGCTGAACAATTTTAAAAGAACTGTCTGAATCACACACACACACACAATGTTCAAACCTTTTAGGTAGCTTTTATATATCTATAAATTCTATATCTATCTATCTATAGAAATCTACATCTATCAATATGTATATATTAATGGGAGTAATAAGGTAACAAGTTTGAATTAAATGATCAGTAAACATTTAAAGCAAGTTATTCTGTCAACTCCTAGCTCCTGTCTTCAAAATACATACTTCAACATTGTTAAAGATGCCATCCCGTAAGAATGCTTGAATCTCCCCCTAAAATCATAACACGGGTAAACTTACTGAAATATTTTTACAATTTTATTAGAGGTTTTAATTCACTGCTTTAGCTATGTCTGTTAGACTGCAAAATAGCTTTAAATATTCAAGTGGTAATTAATGAATCTTTTATGTTGCAAATCAAACATTTTCATCTGTGTGCTGCTGAAGGAGAAATGCGAATGGATTTAAAGAATAATTGTTTCTCCCTACTCTGCCCCTTGACCAGTGTCTTTTCTACGTCTGGTGAGCGCATGCTTTTTGCCTACTGGGCAAACATTCTTTGTCTTCTTAGAGGTGAAGATTTCTTGACATCTCTCCTTCCAGAGATACTCCTGACTCGACTAGATGGAAAGTCTTTGAATGTGGAATTTTTTGCGTAAGTGCAAAATAATAAAAAGCATGCGTATGTTAAGGAAGGATTGGCTTAATAGCAAATGAGCATTGGCTTAGATTAATATTCCGTTACAGTAAAAACTTCTCTTTAATAAATTTTCTCCAGGCTTCCCCTGCCCCAGAATCTCACATATTTTTCTAAATGGCATGCCAACCTAAAGAAAGTATATATGATACATTTGATTGATGTTAAGTCAATATGAGTACAAGCCATTTAAAATTGCATTGTAAATGTCGAAATACAAACCCAAGGAAACACACATAGTACCCTATATTGAGAAGGTGAACGGTGTTAGCTTGTCAAGGGCTAAAAATACCTTGTAAATATTATTCTGTTTTGAGGAGCTTTTTTTTTTAAAAAAAAAAAAAAAGTGGTGTTTTGTGTCAAATAGAAGGAAAGTCTGAAATCCTGCGTTTTTGAAACAAAAAAATCAAGCCAATGTTGAAGACTTCACATAACAAAATAGTTTTTCTTTCCTCTGTCACTAATGAGAAATGAGCAGGGAGAGCAGTCCCTGAGAAGGTTCACAAAAGGACTGACAAATTCTTGATTAGAAGCCATATCGGCCACCCTGTATCCTTCAATGGCTCTAATTAATACCGGACATGGTGACATTTATGTATCAGAGCAATAAGCTAAACAGGAAACAATTTATGTCACCTAAAGCTTTTTAACAAATCGATGCAACTATTTGTAATTGCTTGTTTCACAAGATTAAAAGTGCTATGGCTTGATCTTCGCCCATGGATTTGTGCTCAACATGACCTGGACTTCCGTTGTTTAAAAAAAAAAAAAAGAAAAGAATTAGTGATCACCAGCAACTTCCATCAAGTAATCCATATTGCTAATATTTCAGGAATTTTAATGTAGTTACAATTTATAGCTGATCAAATGTGGTTACCTAAATTGCTGTTGCTAGTAGACAGTTTAACTGTCTTTATTAATTACAGTATAATTTAATGTTTGAGTACTGCCACTGTATTGGTCATTTTTACAGCTAGAGCAGTTATCTGCCTTATGACGAACCATTTTAGCATTTTCAATGGAAATTTGCTAATATGATGAGTGATAAAAATGTCACACGCTGTAAATAATGATTATTGCTCTGGATGAAATTAATTCTTGAAAGGCCGGTTACCTTCAAATTAGCATTATAACTTGAAGCTTGCCTTTTTCCCTCCCTATCTTCTTGGTCTCAGCTTGAAGAAAGGAAGAAAAAAAGAGAAGACCATCCAAACTTCTGATGGATAAATATATTTTGGTATAAAGCATCAAATGGGATTTCACAACCAGAATGGAAATGTCAATATAGATTTGTGATTTTTTTTAAAAAAAACAAAATCCTTTTTAAAAATATAAGTTACATCTAGAGTGATGGTTTTCTAATACAAATATTGTTCCAAGGTTAAATCAGTTTTTGTATCTAATTTTATTTTCCTCCAAGGTGAATTCTGTCTTAAATCTTTCATCCATCAGTCAATGCTTTAAAATGAAGATTTAAGACTCAACTTCACCTTATTTGAATAAAGGATATTTTATTTAACTCAACTACAATAAAGATAAAAGATAAATTGTGATTATTACTCTGTACATAAATAGGTGATATCGAAGAAGACAGAATTTAATAAGAAAGGCTAATTAGGTATTGTTTTCATCCTTTATTTTTGAAGGGAATGGGGAGGGAGAGGTGGTTACTATTCTGCAGCTGCCTGTGTTGGTGTGAAATTAACTCTTGTTTATATGCTCTTTGCGTACCCCACCCTCCTCCATAGAAGAACCGATATTTTGGCTTCAATGCCTTGATTATCCGGAGTGGCAGTCCTGAAATAAATATGTTAAGTATTCTTCCTTTGGAACAATTCCTGAAATACAATTTAAAATGTACTGCCTATCAGCCAGCAAAATCTTTACTATTATGCTGCAGAGCATCATACTCGATTTGAATTCTTTAATTCCAGAAATTTGTATGTATATCTAACTTAACTGGTACATGCTGTAAGCAGTATTTATGTTGAAGCCTAGCAATTAAGGGGATTTCAATTAACCCTGATAGTAGCCAGGTGAGCATGCAAGGTTCAAACATTTTGCTAATTAGCAGACTAGAGGGGTTCCAGATTGTCAGAAATGTTTATGAGAAGAGGATACTCATTGGCAATAGAAAAATCTACTAGGTTTAGCAAGAAAAACAACATCCAAACTTTCTTAAGATGAATGGGTGTCTCCAGCAATTGAAGGAAAAAGTATGGGAAAGGAACATTTATGTTATGCTCCTCAGCATCGGCTCATGTTTTGACTAATAAAGATGGCAAGGTTAATTTTCAAATAATTCCTAGACTTGCATTGGATCCTCGGAATTATATACGTAATGGGTTTATGTTACTGTGGTCTGGGCTCTTTAAAGTGCTTCTTTCAATATACTAGCAGTAAAAGTCATGCTGAAAGATGGTTCTTGAATTCATCACTCCTTAGTGTGTGTGTGTGTGTGTGTGTGTGTGTGTGTAAGAAATGACACATCTTTATAAAGGTATGAAATTTTAAAAGAATCTCCAAATCAAGGTTGTTTTCCTGGGATATTTAGGCACCCTGGTCTTGCTTTTTCCTGTGAGTGCAGTTATCTAGCTGAGTTTTGATCGAATATTTTTATAAAATCATTTGTTCTAATCTAAGCATTTATCATTATATGCAAAAGGATTTCTTGATGAGAATATTATAGACGGTGCATGTTTTTGACATTAGCATTTTATTTGGATGACTAATCTTGCAGATGTGAAATTCCAATGAATTATTCATGAAATTGCTTTCCTCTGAAATTTTAGTTTGCTCTTAATGCTAGTTATTAAACATTTTGTTTTTCTTTATAAAATTTGATGAAGAGAAATCGTGTGCATCCCTCCAAAGAACGGAGCTCCCTCCTTTGATTTGGTCTCCTTCTCTCCACCCCATTCCCAGCTCTTGAAATGGACACCTTCACCTGGAAATCTTACTTTGAGGATAAGAGCTTTCTTTAACCTTTTCTGGTGATTCATAAAAGCATTTAGCTGAGATTGATTTTAATCCTGTATTGGAGTAGTTGGTGATGAACATGAAGCGTGTGCCCAACCGACAGTATGAGCAGGTCAGAAGTGGGGGGGCGGGGGGGGGGGAGGAGGAGGGGACTTAGGCTGTAGCAACTTTGTCTCCCAGTGTTGAATCCGCATTTTTATTGCATTTGAGAATGCTATCATGTAATTAGTACTGACGACACTTTTTCCCCCCCAATTGTCTGTATCCACAGACATGGAATGATGGAATTACAGTTGATGTCAAGGAATGAGTTTCTTTTGTGCCTTATCAAAACAAAACAAAAAGAAATCCGTATTACTGGCAGTGCACAAAGGTGCCTGGTGCAGACTAGGCATCCCATTTAAGGTTTGCAGGAGAGATGGCATGAGCTAGCTACCGTGGGCCCAATAGATGACTTCAACATTGCCAGTTTGGCTCTAAAGATAAAAAAAAGTGAAAGTGACTGGTAAAAGAAAAAAAATCCAGACTATCAGGAAACTATCCCATGACTAGAAATAGACCAAACAGATTCTGAATCTTTACAAGCACAGTGTATGTACTGTGTCTTTGGAAATGGAAGTCAGATGGACTGGGAAATAATTTTTTAATTGTGGGTATGTATGAGAGAATTAGAAACAAAAAATCTTATATCCTATTTTTTGGTGAAAATGCAGGCTTCTTTATGAGGTCTGCTGGGATGCTGGGAGTATGGTGCTATCCCAAGGGAGCAAGACTTGTGGTCACTTTAAGTGCCTGGCTATTTCATTTTGTTCCTGGTCCAATATGGCAGCCCACCTCATCTCACAAGGACTGAGTCTAGGGAGCAGCGGGAGTCTTCCCATTCCTGACAGTGCATTTACCGGATGGAATTCCTTCCCTGATGTATGCTTTTCTTTGAAAAAATAATTGTTTTTACGTTGTGGCACCTTGTAAAGATTTTTTTTATACAAATCTCCATTGTTGACACACCCCATAATTAACCACTTTACTGATATAAACTGTGAAAGTGTGACCTTGGAGTTTCAGCATGCAAAATATTGACTGCAGCAGGAGAAATTTTTTTTAAATAACATTTTTTTCTCTTTTCAAATGTATGACCTTGTTTAAAGATAGCCCGGAAGGCTGTGGTAGAATAAACACAGGGATAGGAATGTATCAAAAAACATATTTAACACACGCACACACGCGCGCGCACACACACAAAAACCTGTACAAAATGCTCCAATCAATGAGAATGGGGGGGGGGGGGGAATCTGTCAACTATGTTACAATTTAAAAGCAAAAATAATAATAATAATAATAAACTTAGGGAGTTTCTCCCTCCCACATGTCAGGAAATGTCATCCAAGATTCATAAAGCAAGGATACCTAAAATAAAATACATGTGCAGCAAATTCTGCAGTTCCAATACATACAGTAGTATTTTTTTCCCAAAGATATATATATATTTTTTAATATTGTAAATATAAAGCAGTTGCACAAAAAAAAAAGCAAAGGTGTTTTGACAAACAGGTGTATGCATTTATTCCTTTTTAGGAACAATATCTAAAAAAAGAACCACCCTCCGCCCTCCCCCAAAAAAGACAAAGATTCACAGACACATTGTCGGGATATATGTACAACATAATAAACCCCATCCTAAAGAAGCGACTGGAACACCCCCCCAAGGGATACAGAATCAGAACTGTAAAAATCATAGTGAAATTTGCTTGCTGTAAAGCCTGAGGAATTTTTTTTTTTCAGTTGGTTCTTCTGCAAGGCTGTGAGACCTGCAAAGATTTGTAAAAAAATCTAATTTTTCTTTTTTTCTTTTTTTTGTTTTTTGTTTTTGCTACAGTCTTTAGACTAAGCATGCAAGACGTACGACTAAGTGCAACTGAGTGAAATGTATTTTTTTTTAATTTTAATCATTCCCTAAAGGTTTGAACTGAGGTATGCGTACTAACAGTTTTTCATGCTGTTCTCTTTACTCATGTCTAGCTACACATGCTCAGGATGAACTAATCTACCAGATTTTTATCCTCTTTTGAATACCGAACTAACCAGCAACCACTCAGTTTAGAAGCGCAGGGCTCCCTTCCCTTGACCCTAGCCGGCTACTGCCTGCACGCCATGAAGTTGCCTGGCAGAAGGAAAAAGCAGCCACGAGTGGCCACACGCTACCCTTGTGACAGAAAGCAGAGGGAGGCTCCCAGAGAAACTGCCAAAGATGGTTTTGCACCAAGCATCGGAGCGGATGGGAGTGTTACTTTTTGCTCACATGAAAAATGCTGACCAAAGCATATTCCAAATAAACAAATAATAAAAACAAAGCAACTAGAAATTAAAAAAAAAAACCACGAAAACTGGGAATATAGATCAAGGTAAACCAAAATGGATGTAGGGAACAAGGAATACAACACATTCCTTAAACAAAAGTGGTGCATGATCTTTTTTAAAAAAATACTAAATTTTTTTTTTCTAAAACTATTACTAAGGTGGTCTAGTTTAATTGTCGCTTTTCTGTTCTGAATTTCATCCTGTCTCCTCTGCTGGCTATCCTAATTTTCAGTGGCATACATTCATTTCTTTCTTTTTTGGACAGGGGACTCCATTCCTTTGTAGCAAGTAGAAATGTGTGCTGTTTTTAATCTTCAGTCTTTCAAGACTTGAGTTTTGGTCTCTGTTCAGGTGCAGAAAAACAAGAAAGAAAAGAAGAAGAAGAAGAAGAAGAAGGAGAAGAAGAACTAGGAAAAAGTAACAACTTTGGTTCCATTACCTACTTGGTCTACTAAATTTACTCTGCTAGGACGAAGGAGCAGTTCTCTTTCCCGGATTAGCAATAGCCTGTTTCTACCATTTGCCTCTAAATTCTTTCACCTCCTTGGATCAACAAGAAGAGGATATTTGGCTTCATTAGATAAAGCATAAAACAGAGAACTTAATTTACCTTTGTGTAACATCTTTGGTAATTTTAGAAATAAAAGGTACAAAGAATATAAATTAACCTCTGGGGTGGGTTGGGGGGGGGGAAGGTTCTCAAACTAAAACAGAATGAAAGCTACGGTCCCAGATAAATAAATGACGGGGTAAGTGGGTATGGGGTGCAAAGTGGAAGTCTAGAAGGGTTGGCCAGGACCGAGGACATACTGACCCAGAGCTATCATGTTCTGAGGACCAGTGTGGGTCTCCTGAAGCCTGGGTTGCCAGGAGCCCTTGTCACCCTGATGTCATCTTGTGTTAGTTTGTGATACCGGGGTGGTGTGAATCCATTGCATAGCAAACTGAACTGCAGTACGGAATTTGCACATTTGAAATGAACACTTTAGTATTTGCTGAACTCCGTCCTCATTAACTCCCCATAACAAGTCTCATTTGCATTCCAACAGATTAATGCCACCAAGCAGGTCTGAATTATAGATATACCAGGCTACCACACACAGCAAAGTTGCTCAGAGAAGCTGGCCGCCTTTTGGTCTTTTTTTTTTTTTTTTTTTACCCCAAACAAAGCAACCCGGGCTGGCTATAATCACACGAGTCCACTGGCTCTCTCCACTTTCTCGGCCACATTGTCAGGGTCATTATTAAGGGTTCGTTTCATTATTATTATTCTTTCTAGTGCTGTCTATGTTTCCTTGACTTGGTAGAATGCTGTGGCAGTCATTTAGAATGATGGCTACTAGAATTTTTTTTTCTTAAAAAAAAAAAAAAAAAAAAAGAACTCCAAAACAATTCCCTTACTACCCTCAATACTGCTTTGTGGAATGAGTCTGCATTGTTCCAAGAGTGCGTCTCTATTTTTTTCTTCTTCTTCTGTCATTCATTCTCTTTCTGGCAGGGTGTCACACGCCTATGTGAGGGGCTTTCATGGTAGAGTGCAGCATTTGGGACTTTTTTTGTTTTGTTTTAGTTTTTGAAAAAGACTGAAAAAAAAAATGAAAAACCAAAAAAAAAAAAAAAAATACCCGGAATGTTTTCTGACTTGAGAGAAACGTGGAGATATCTGTGGGAAAAAAATGGAATGAGTGACAGAAAACTACAAACAAGAAATGACATTCAGCTTTGTATAATAAAAACACCTATTAACATTCATCACAAGGTACAGAAAACTTGAAGCCTCTAAGAGGCCATGGGCCCCAAATGGAGGCCTGAGGTCAGAACTTAAAAATGGTATAGTAGAAGCAAAGGAGGAAAAAAAAAAAGCAATACATTAAAAAGTCTGGGATAATTATTTTTTAACCCCTCCCCCCAATACACACACACAAAGGCCTTTCCCATCCCAACTGGAAGAAAAAAAATTAAAACAAACAAAAACAAAAAAGAGTTAAAAGGCAGTGATATTCATTCAACATGCAGTACTGTGCAAATAGGTCGTCCATTGAAATCCTTGAATTCTGGGTAAAGGCTTGGTCTACAGCTCAAGGGCACAAGCTCAAGTAGGCCGTCCTCAGTGTCCAATGTTGGCAAGGACTGCAGTTCAAAGTCTGCTGCTAAAAAGTGAATCCGATCAGCAAATATACAACACTGATGTTGACTGTTGAGAGGAAAATCCCCAGTACCAAACAAGTCCATCCGATGCACAGAGTACAAATTCCTGTTTTCAACAAAAAGTAGAAAAATCAAAAATACTCCCAAATGGGATTCTCGATGGCACTAAGAGTTAACACATTTCAGAGTTGTCAAAATGTAGTGAAAAATCCTCCAGACTGTACAACAAATGGAGAACGACTTCACTGTAACTTCTGACGTGTTGTGTGTTTGTTTGTTTTGTTTTCCTTTTATTTTTTTCCGATCTTCACTCTGGGGTGGGGGGAGCAGGGAGGAGGAAGAGGAGGAGGGGGGAGTCAGCCCACCCAGATGTTCACTCCATGTCCTCATGTACTGCTTCATCTTCGTAATCTCTGTCCTGGTCAAAATCCGGACTGTGGTTAGCTGTTGTCACTAAGGACAGAGGCCCTTCAGCTTCCTCTGGATCCAGGGGCTCTTCTTTGACGTGTACAGGATGCCTGGAGAACAAAACGAACAGCAAAGGTTCAGTGGGAGATGCTTTCTAGCTGCTGCTCCATAGAGCAACCTGAAAGCTATATCACACGACGACATCGCTTCCTGTACAGGCTGCCCCTGGCCACATGTCCTTCTTTCAAATGAGGGAATACCTGCTTCAATCTAAGTTCCATTGCTCAGTTGTCACATTCTGAGAGTTCCCATACTAGAGGGCACAGAGATCGCACATTAGCACCAGGGCAGAAGGTTGGTTTGTGTCGTGATGCTCTGGACAGAAGCAGGCCTGCCCTCTCTTGAGCCAGTGCTCCTGTTTGCACACACACACACACACACACACACACACACACACACACACACACACACACACACACACACACACACACACACACACACACACACACGAATCACCTGAGCCGGACCCCCAGTTGGGCGATGATGCCCAAGACTCTGCATTCCTAACGATCTCCCAGGTGATGCTGCTGGTCCTCAAGGTGAGTATAGGGGAACAGGACCCCCGAACAGAAGCCTGGGTGGATGAGTACCAATCTTCAAATAATTACGTGAAATGAGACTCTGTACTACGACAGCAGTTGGCGGGGACTACTGAGCACAGGAGCTGGGCTAATCATGGCTTGCTGTGTGTTCTGCTTTGCTAGTTAACATGCAGAACCTGTGAAAGAACTCTCAGAGGACGACCCCCAGCGAGGGTCTATCATTAATCAACTTCAAGCAAACACAGCAAAGAGACACCATGATACATGCTTGAAACTCCAAATTAATGCATATTTTTACAAACTGTCAATAAGGCAAGAAAAGCCCTGCCAGGAAACACAAATGGAGAGGGAAAGGCTCGCTCAACGCAACAATATGATAAGAGAGCAGAGCCCCAATCAGAATAATAACGCTGTCAGCTGTAAACAAGGCAAAACACGAGCCCTGGCTGGTAGCGGCCACCAGGACGCACACGCAGCGATGAGATCTGCCAACTTTCTCATTATGGACCGGGCTCTGTTCACCCAAGGGGTGATCACACAAAACCACGGTGATAACAATTGAGAAATGTTGTTCGTAAATCATATTTACAACCGATCCTTTGCAAATACAAATTACTTTCTGTTGCAGGGCTTTTGATATGTAAAAGAACCATTCAAGTTATATAAGACAAAAAAAAAAAAGCTCAGTTCCTGGAACATGCTGCAGAAGGGAGGGGTTTGTAACTGACATTATCAAGTATTAGTAATAAGAGGTGGTACTGGGGATGTGTGGCTTCCTAAATAATTGATGCTGTATGCAAAACCCAAAGACCCCTTAACTATTTAAAAACAAACAGAAGAGTGCTTTGGACTGCCCTTGAAGATATGAACCTTCAGAATCAATTGACTCTAAAATTAGCCCTGCTTAGAGAGAGTTTGGGGGGCTAGATGTCAGCTAAATGGCTTTAAAAAAATTATACCCATTGTGAAGAAGCATTTACAAAACAGAATAGAGCCGAGTGGCCTTATAGTTCATTTTACGTGTGCAGCTCCTATCTATTTAAAAAACTAGTGTTATTCGTCTGTATTTCTGTAGTAAGATGAAGGTCTAGCTACAAACCTGAGTCCTGTGCAAAATGAAAATGCTATCCATTAGCCTGTAATCCTAGCTCCGCAGAAGGCTGAGAGCTGAGGACATTCATTTGAAGCTAGCCTGGATGGCAAAGTCCATGAGACTCTTCATTACCCACCAAAAAGTCAGAAGTGAAGCTGTGGCTCAAGGAGTAGAGTGCCAGCCTTCAATGAAAAAGCTAAGGGACAACAGCCAAGCCCCGAGGTCAAGCCACAGTGCCAACACCAAAGAAAAAAAATTAGGAGAGAAATCAAGCAAGCATTTAAAATAAGTGATACCACCACCGATGAGCTAGGTAGACTGATGAGTACTCCTTAAAAACTCACTGATAACCCTTGAATTAAAGTCAGATTTTGCCTCTCTTCCCACTGGAAATCACATTTTTATAGATTGCAGAAATAGCAAAGACTACTGTATTTGTGCTTATTTTTCTGTTGTAATTTTTTTTAGGGGTATAAGAAACTCCATAGCCCGGCACCAGTGGCTTATGCCTATAATCCTAGCTATTCAGGAGGCTGAGCTCTGAGGATCACGGTTCAAAGCCACCCCGGGCAGGAAAGTCTGTGAGACTCTTATCTCCAATAAAAACCACTAGAAAACCGGAAGTAGCGCTGTGGCTCAATGGTAGAGCGCTTGACTTGAGCTGAAGAGCATATGGACAGTGCCAAAGCCCAAAGTTCAAGCCCCACGACCAACCAAAAAAAAAAGAAACTCCATTGTGTGAACCTACTGACATTTCCTAATACTGGGCCTTTTCTAAAGCTATCCTCCTCCTTTGCTGTTTGCATAATAGAGAAACCATTGTTACTCATTAAATTTTCTACTTCTGTTGATTTACCTCCTTAGGATGCATTTCTAAGATTGGAATTGTTGTAGCAAAGGCCAAAACATCTTTACAGTGCTTATGATTTATAGTGATACTCATTTCCAGAGAAGCTACACCAATGAAGACACAATCTCATTAGCACTAAAAATCATTAAAACAACAAAAAAAGACAAATGTAGCAGTGGTACTCTTTAGACACCATGTGGAAAATGAACTCTATAATTTGTGGGTAGGCACAAGAAGTGGGGAGAGAGCTAGGGAAGGGGTGACATTATCCAAAAAGAAATGTGCTCATTACTTGACTGTGCAACTGTGACCCCTCTGCATATCTACAATAATAAAAATATAAGATAAATAAAAAATTTGAAGTACATTGTCCAAAAACAAAAGAAATGTACTTATTACCTGACTTAGGAAGTGATAACAATAAATTTATACTAACACTAAAACATTACCTAGCAGGTATGAGATATAGCAGAGATGACTTTAAGTTGCATTTCCGTTTTATTTTCTGGTGGTACCTGGGTCTGAACTCAGGTCCTCAGGCTTGTTAGGCAGGAGCTCTACCGCTTGAGCCACTCTAACAGTCCTCAAAGTGAACTTCTTAAGAGTTGTGCTAACGGTGAGAATTTCTTTAAGGTTTATATATTTCATTCTAGAGAATCCTGTCTTTTATAAATTACTTGCCTCATGGGTTTTAGTCCTATGGTTTTATTAAAATTGATTAGACAGGATTTTGTTTTACTTAGCTAGGTATTGAGGTTCTAATGTCATTTTTCAGGTTAAAATTTTCTCTTTGATTTTTTTTCTTTTGTAGCTATCAAGACTTCCTCATCTTTCCAGGCATATAAACTAGAATCTGAAGAGACAACACAATGGAAAGTTTTGAGTAGGGGGCGAGGAAGGGAACCCTAGAAGAAACGAAATTAGAACAGTCTTCAGGAAATTCTAGCTTTCTAATTTTAGACTTGTGCAGATATTCTGTTAAGCTATGCCCCAATCACCCAGACACATGTATGATTCTCATAAATGTAGCCCTAGCGAAGATTCTGTGATAGCAAATTTATGTATTGTTTACTCCGTCATCCTTGCTGGCTCTAAGCATGACAACCTGTCTATATGCTAGGTTAGGTATGAAGGACTCCTCAGACAGCAGAAGCATGAAATCCAATCTCAGGGCAGCTGAAACTTGCAGACCACCTTGGGTGTGTCACACAGTGTCTTGGGGATCCCACAGAATGGATTTCTGTGTAGGATGTAAAGTGTTGAAGACACGATTCTCCCACATACACACAGTATGTCTCCTAGAAATTGTAGCTGGGGTACAATTGGTACCTCTTGCCAACATTACCTACCCAGGCCTATCCCTCTTTCCCTCCAACATCTTCTGAAAGATCTACCCAGGAACAATGGTATAAAGCTTCTCATTGCCCTTCCCTTACATCTGAATAATTCCTTTCTGCAGTCACTCTGTGAACACAGGAGTTTTAAAATAAAGCCAAATGGTGTTTAAAGGCCTTGTGTTTGGGGGGGAGGGAAAGTGTGTGTGTGTGTGTGTGTGTGTGTGTGTGTGTGTGTGTGTGTGTGTGTGTGTGTGTGTGTGTGTGTGTGTGTGTGTGTGTGTGTGTGTGTGTGTGTGTGTGTGTGTGTGTGTGTGTACAGACAAGCATGGAGTATTTTGCTTTGCTGCTCCTTTAAACTCCTATCAAGATCAAAGCACATCATACTTTGTAGTGTTTTAGAAGAGAACCTAAATGAAATGTAGTGGTAGGGAGTGCCCCAAAAAGTTAGAATGAGACATGCTGTAGCAACCTGACATATTTGCTAAGCGGCCGTTCTTGCTATAAAGTTTATGGCTTAGATGTATTCCAACAGACTGGGAACAGTTAAGAAACAATTTGCATCATAGCAGGGTAATGCATACAGGGCAAGTATGCATACAGGGTAATGCATACAGGACATACAGGACTGCTATGGAATTTGCTATATGGAAGTATAGGGTCAGAAAGAACAACTGGGTAAGCCACTGAGGACAGACTTGGGGCCACACTGAGCTCCAGGTATAAACCTAGTGACGTCTTTGGGCAGGGCTCTGTGCTTCTTCTAAAACTGCAAACATCAGTTTCATTAGGGAAATGAACCCTAAGATATGTATTCAAATGTTTTTTTTCTTTCATGCGATTGTTTCTAACACATTTATAAGATGATTTCTTTGTTGCTTTGAATGTCCCTCCCCCATGGTATAACCCCTGCTTTTACTGTATTTGATGTTGGTATAATTTGTGGAGGGGAAGGGGAAAAACAAGTCATTTAAATAGGGATACAGGTGGACCCATTGCAACAATGAGATGTACAAGTCGTTATGTCGAAAACGAACTTTACAACTTTGGTGGGGGGGTGCGGGGAGAATTGGGTAGGGGGACAAGGGGAGGATGGGAAGGGGAAACAAAGGAGGAGGCTACAATGCTTGATAAGAAATGTACTCATTATCTTGCCCATGTAATTGTAACCCCTCTGTACAGTATTTTTACAATAAAAAAATAAATAAAAATTTAAAAAAACAAATTATGATGACTTGTAAAACATTATTTTTTAAAGCACTGGGGTTAATTCAAAGTCATTAAAACAAATTAACTCCACAGTTAACTTTACTCTGTCCAGGAAAAAACGGCTTGACCTGAACTGTTGATTGTGAAACTTGTATCCAAATATGTTGTTTTTGTTTTATCTCTGCACTCTACCCTTCCACCTCACCCAGTGATCTTTCTGCATTAAAAACTAGGAATATTCATCAACTTCAGATAATTTTGCTCTCATAGGTGTTTCTTCAAGGGTTTATATTCCCATTTATATTTTCTCCTAAATTTAATGTCATGACAATGACATAATGATAAAACAATAAAGCCAGAAATAGAGCAGCGTGGTATGAAGACAAACACTTGAAGTAAATATTTTGGAGGCTTTTCATAGAAATTAAAAATGATTATTTCTCATCTTTAAAGATGCTTCTCAAAGCACGTTGGGCATGAGATGCAAATGCTTAGCAAATCAGATTTCAAATTCCCCCATAACCTCTAATTATGCTGGGAGATAATGTTTTTTTCTCTTTGTCACTAGGTGCCAATTCCTTCAGTTCTTAATTGCTACAGGTCACATTTTCCATTCCTATCACTCACGTTATCCTTAAAACAAGATGTTGATGAATGAAGAATGTGTAGACATTTGCCTGTTCTGGAAGCCGACAGGAATGCAAACATTGAATCGGTTTATTCACTTAATGTGGACCACAGTTTGGCAGAAACTCACTGAAAGGGAGACACTGTCATTCCACGGTTTTGCCGGAAATCCGATCTCTTGGAATAATGTGGCTGCTTTTCTCCGTTTAAAAATGCTTTCTCACCACAGCCTCATGGCCTGGTGGCCTGGGATTTAGTGACGGCTGGCTTGGTCCCTGTGACCATTCATTCACATTCCACGAGAGCCACCCTCGCCCATCACTTCATTCAGTTATATGTGCACTCATTAGACTGCCGTCTGCTGCGATAATGCTCCTATTAATTTTCCTTTTGATATTTTAAGAGCAATCTATAAATCATGCTGCCTTTCACTTGTGCCATCATTAATGCTTAGTAACAAGGCTGTGGCATCGCGTGTACAGCCGAAACCCGGCACACAACTCAGAGCAACATCTTTGTTCCCTCTACCAGGGTCAGTGAAACAAAACTCAAAAGTTCGTCTAGCAGATGCGTGCTGAATTTAGGTTCCCAACCCTCCCCCTGGATGATTGTGTAATGGCCAAAGGAGGCGAGTTTCCTGTGTCACGGCAGACAACGGCTTTTATAGGAAAAGGAAGTACCAAGGGGTTCTCCCTGGATTCTAAGTCATGAGGGATTATGGGAAAGGTGGAGAGAGAATGCCAAAGTGTTCAGTGTGTATAGGAAACTGGGCGCCTGGGGTGTGCTGGCAAAGCCCAGGGGGTGCACAGTACTCACACAGCTTGCAGAGGAGATCTGCCTGGACTGCTGTCACTCTCGTTGCTATTGGTATGTTCCATGGCCCCGTTCAGCTCCTCCCGGATTGCGCTGGCCAAGTTGCCCAGAGTGGGATTCCCCATGGAGGCGGTAGTGTATAGAGGTATACTATTCTCAGCCATGGAAGCCTGCCATCAACCAAGAGAGAACTTGAGGAAGTCATAGGGTAGGTAGCACACAGAAGCTATGAATGGTGGGAAAATTCAGTAACCTCCATCGTTAGTCCATCGGGCCACCTGCTTGGCAAATACACATTTCAAAGACATTATACAGAGACTGAACTCTAAAAGTGACTCAAGGCACCCGGTCCCAGGTTTGCTTTAGAAGAGGTATGTTGGGGGTTGAAAAAAAAACCCGAGGAAGAAGTCCTCGATGTGGTCCTGTGGGGTAGGGTCCTACAGTTTAGACAAAGCTATCCATTATGAGGTTTCTATCCCTGGCCTTTTTTGTCTGCCTTTTTCAAGAGGAACTGAATATTTCAAGATCATAGTGAAAATATAATGGGATTTTCATTTCTTGACTCATTTTGATGACTCTGCTATTGGATATCAGAGATTTGATCTGATTATTCCAGGCACACTGCTCAAATTTATGAGAACTTCCATAAACATTTACCTCCCAGATCTTATAGAAAAGGAAGAGATTATAGAATTGGAATCAATTTTTATCCCCCCTCCCCACCTCATCGTTTCCGGTTTAATGATTTTTGAATGTGTTTAGTGAAGTCCGAGAAAACTGGTTGAAGGTAGCAAGTGCACAATCTTTCAGACTCAGGCCAATCACTTGGGATTTTACAAGGAAAGAAAAATCCCTAGCAAAAAGAAGCTCTAAATCTCATTTCTTTTAGGTGCCTGAGCACACTGATATTAAAGGTGACAAAGTCACTCTAAATGAGTGTCAGCAAAAAAGTGCGTGGTGGTGGTGGGGGTAATGGAGGGAAAAACCCACCCTAAACTCTATACCACTCACTTTGTCTTACTGTATCTGAATAAAAACAGCTGCCCAGTGTGAAATACAAACTAGTCAGCACCACATGGCTAAAATCTAAAGTAACCATATTTGTTTCATTTGGGCAGCAAGTGTGACCCAGTGCCTTTCATTTCATTAAAGAGGGCAGACACTGAAAAAGTGGCAGCTGTAATTAGACCAAGATTTATGACAACTGTCTTCCTGCAGAATACACTATGCCTGGTTTCCTACCCTAATGAGAAAAAAAGTACAATCACAAGACAATCTGGCATAGTGACTTCAATTGGCCCATCTTGCAAGAGTCCAAACTATTCTAGAAATCCTGGCAGTGCAGAGAAGGTACAAGCCAAAAAAAAAAAAAAAAAAGGGAGCACAGCCGGGCTGCAGGGAGTCTGCCTGTTTTGACAGTCACAGTTTCACTCTTCATTCGTTGTACAAAACCCTAGAGCCAGAAATGCTTCTTCGATGCAAGTCCTGTGTTAAGCCCCAGACACGCTCACCTAGTCTAACACTCGATTTCAAAGCGGGGCCTAGGCAACTTCTCGCCCACTTTGGAGTTTATTTCACTGCCTTCTTTTAAAATCCCCTTTTTATTTCCCAGTGTGGAGAACTCAATTTGATGAATTCTCCCCACTCTCCTGTAGTCTGTCAAATATTTTTACTCTTTGGGACAGAGTGGCTGGCAGATAATAATCGCTGCGACTGCAAACGGCAGCTAGATTGCTATCGCTACATTTTTATTTGAGACAGTACTGTGGTCATGCCTCTTTATCTTGAAAGTTACTCTGGGTCTGTCCAGGGAACTGCTTCTCACTGGAAATACAGACGAGCCCTCCCAGGACAATTTCACTGTCATTCAAGGCAGGATTGTGGCCAAAGTGGGGCTAGTGCCAGTTGGCTATTTTAGCAGATTCCAAAGCCAAAAACGGAGTGGTAAAGAAAATTGAAATAGCCTTAAGAATGTGTTTGTTGGGATATATTAGTCAACCCACAGACAGGGGGGAAGCTCCTTTGGGTAGATGTTCATTCCATTCATCTCCTAAATTATTTCAAATTATGGCCATTTCTGACTGAGTTTGGGGCACAGAACTTGAGTAGACGCCCAAATTCCGTGAAGGAAGTCGTGCAGTGGCTTCTGATCATTCTGTATGGATACCTTGCCTCTCAGACAAGGTATATCAGATCAAAAGAGGGGGGGAAGGAGGAAGGGAGGGAGGGAGAGAGGGAGGGAGGAGGGAGTAGAGAGGGAAGGAAAGAAGGGAGGGAAGGAGAGAGGGATGGAGGGAGGGAGGGAGGGAGGGAAGGAGGAAGGGAGGGAGGGAGAGATAGGAAGGGGGAGTAGAGAGGGAAGGAAGGAAGGGAGGGAAGGAGGGAGGGAGGGAGGGAAGGAGGAAGGGAGGGAGGGAGAGATGAGGAAGGAGGGAGTAGAGAGGGAAGGAAGGAAGGAAGGGAGGGCAGGAGGGAGGAAGGGAGGGAGGGAGGGGAAGGAGGGGGGGAGGGAGGGAGGGAAGGAGGGAGGGAGAGAAGGAAAGAGAATGGGCTACAGTCAAATCTTGCATCTTAACCTGCTCAGAATCTCTTAAATGCTGTTGGATGAGAGATCAGAACAACCCCCCAAAAGGTAGAAAAATCTGCATCTGCCTTTTCATAGGTGGTATTCCTTAGAAGGAGGTGGATCACAATCTTGATAATGGACTTAATTATATAAATGACCCTGGGCACAGCACGTGATTTCCTATTCAACTGGCATGTCTGCCAAAAACCTGAAGGTGCTTAAGGAATGGTATAGAAGTCTGTAAGTGCCATGGCTTCTGGAACATTAGCCGCTCCGAGATCTTTGGGAAAAGACAGTCTATAAATACGAAGCTTTACGGTTACCCTTAGTTACTTCACTTTTTCAGAGCATAATGCAATCTGTCCCAAGTCCCATGTTTTATTTCTGTAGTGAATGCTGCTGTCCTATTTTATAAATTGTATAAGCACGCGTTATATTGGTCTAGTAAAAAAAATTTTTTTTTGAGATAGCGTTCCACTATTATTCTTCCTTGTCTTTAAGGATGGAAAACGGGTGATAATGGAAAGGATGTGGACTTAATTTTGCATGGCAGAAAGTGGTCTTAACTTTCAGGCTCTCCCCTGATCCAAATCACAGATGAGAGGGAAATGGGTAGCTCCTTAAATCACGCATTATTGTCATTTATTGGTCTCTCCTAGTTGTGGACATCAACGGTTCTTGGAGAGTTTGGGACTCCCACTGGAACAGGGAAGACCAGCATAGAGAGGAAACAGGAGCAGTTGGGTAATGATAAGCTTTCTAATCGAAATTAGCCACATAGTTAAGGAGATCTAGACGATGGAGGATCTTTTTTTTTTTTTTTTTTTTGCTTTTCTGCCTCATGAATGTAAAATGTGCTTGTAATTTTAATACTCTTCCAGATAGAGCTGCCTTTAAATTCACACTTTGCAAGACTCCAGGGAAAATAAGTTACTAATGAATGGTATTTACAGTGGCAGCATCTAAGCGTGCTTTCATTTACTCTTCTAAAGTTACTGTGTAAACTACAAGTAATTAAAAACGAACGCAGAAAGTAGTTTCTCCTATTAAATTTAGATCAGGCTAAAAATAAATAAATATAATTACTGAAATGCTAAGTTCAGTGAATCTGCTGCTGAACTGGGTAGGAGACAGATCAGCCATCGTGAGCTCCAAGACATGCTGCTAGTGAGCTGGGAAAACGGTGGTGAGCAGCACAGAGTGGGCGCAGCAGCAAATAGATGCACACTGAAGGTTTGCTTACTGAGAAGCAACCACCAGGTTCCTGTGCATCAGAAGATCCTCCTCCCCCATCCTGTTCCCATAATGCCAAGTGTCTCAACTTCTTTTTTTTTTTTTAAATGAACTTGCCCTTCTTCTCTAGTTCTGCTTTCAACCCAAGAAATTTTAATCTCTGATTTTATGTGCCATAATCTTTGGAAGTTCAACTGAAGAACCAATTTGTCAGAGTAGTAGCCTTGCGGATTCTTAGTAGTACTGGATTACCACGGTGAGATTTACCTGCAGAACCTATCATGAAAAGTTAATACGGTTCTGTCAGCCTGTCTTCAGGCCAATAGTCTGGGTAGGTGAAAATCCCACAAGAACACTGGCTAAAAGGACTGTGCCTATAATTGTTCTTTGAAAACTCAAGCCTCAACCCCAGGTGTTTCAATGAACGAATACTAGAGTATTATAAGGATTTGAGAGAAGACTTGCAGGGACTATGGTAACTAAAAAAAAAAAGCAATAAACAAAAGACTTGCTACAGACACACAGGCTATCCTGGTAATGCAAGACAGGTGATCTTGACCTTCTGCTCAGAACCAGGAATTCATCCCATAGGATATCAGTGACATAACAAGTGCTTGGTTTGTCTGTAGGAAACAAATGTTCTGGGCTGGGAACTGGTGGCTTACACCTGTAATCCTAGGTATTCAGAAGGCTGAGATGTGAGGATCAGTTTGAAACCAGTCTGGGTAGGAATTAACCACCGGATAGAAATCAGAGATGTAGTTCTCGTGTAGAGTGCCAACCTTAAGCACAAAAAGCTCAGGAATAGCACCCAAGATGATGAGTCCAAGCCCCAGTATGGGCACAAAAACAAAACTAAACAAAAGCAGAAAATGTTTTGTGCGATTATACTGTGATCACCAACAAGTTACCGGGAGCCTGGAGTTTGCTTCAACTTCTCTATTGTTTCAACAAAAACAGTCGACTTAAGAGAAAACGAAACAAATCCAGATGCCACCCCTCCCCTGAGAAGAGATACTGAAATGGATGTGGCAAGGAGAGGAAAGGAGCACAAAGCTCCGCTTTCTCTTTAAACCTGTGAACAATGGGAGGGCATGTGATCCACTAGCCTATCATGCAGCACATTAATAGCTGTGCTAGAGTAATTACACTTGTGGTATTTTTGCCTCAAGTGAAATTCTGAAATAAGAGGATGGAAATTATGATACTGCTGATAAATATTAATAAGTGAACTTTTAATTTTTTTGCCACAATATTCAAAATGCTAAGCATCCTGGCTAATGCTGAAGCAGCCCGATGTGTTTGCCTCCAGGGAGCGCGAAGCTTTGTGCACTTAAGAAAAAAGTTTAACGGAATTAAAATTTAATATCTAATTAGAGCGAGGCTAATATATTTTGCAATGAGTGGGGGAGACATGTGTCGCCGCAGCAGATTCTGGACGGCCATTCATCTTACCTGTAACGCAGCGTTAAGAGGTGTGCAGTAGGCATGGCTGCTCTGCATGTTTTTAATAAGGGAAGGGTTACTGTATAAAAAAAAAAAAAAAAGATAAAAAGTCAAAGTTAAACACCATCCAGCCCCCGGAGTCCCAATTAAGTTTTGATTTTTAAGCTCCCTGGTAGCCATCCACGTCCCCTTATTATTGTTGTTGTTGTTGTTATTATTATTATTATTTGTCCACTTCCCTTTTACAGGTCTGGACTAGGCAAAAATTTCTGGGGATGCTGTTCAAGGTGATAGGGTGTCAGATTCTGGCCGAGACCTGGGTACAGATAGGTAAATCACTGACCAGACTGCAGCAGGAAGGTAGCATGTAGGGATTAAGGAGAGATGGCAGGGGACCTGGGAGTCAGCAGAGAGATGTCCCTCTGAAGCCTCTTCCTGACTGGACCTCTACCATGGCTGCTGCAGGAAATTAGGAAGCAGCCCTTAGGAAGTTCTCTCAGGCACGTTTAGTGCCAAGAGAAGAGGAGGAAGGAGTATAAGAGCCTACCATGGCAAGTCTGGTCCTACAGTGTTTATTTGCACAGCGAGATCTAGGAGGGCCTGAAGTGACTGGGTACTGTCTCCCTCTAGTAACTGACCAATCAATGGATGCCAAGATATGGTTAAAAAGAAATCTCTGGCCCACTAAAGAATTAGAAACACTAAGAAATTCTCTATGGGGAAGGATGGCTTCCCATAATACACATAGTAGCATCATCCACCACCCAATACCTCCATCCCTCCCCATCCCCCAGCTTAGAACAATTCTTTTTTCCCCCCCTTTGAGACAGTCTTTCTATGTAGCCCGGGTTAGACCTGAACTTGGAATCCTCCTACCTCTGCTTCCCAAGTGCTGGGATTACAGGCGTGCGCCACCACACCCAGCTGGATTCAGGCATTGCAATCATTTCATTCTTATTATATTTAGTAATAAATAAGAAAAAATACATTATATCCCAACAGATAAATACGTTTTAACCATAATTTCCTTCTTGCTTGGAGGAATTAGGGTCACACACAAAATATTTAATCAGAGGGTCCCCGTAAGCTGCTGAATCGACATACAACCAATAATTTGTATTAAAGACATCAAAAAAGCATTACTCAAGGCAACTGGTGTTCCAAAGAGAAACGAGAGAGATGCATGTACAAATCACACAATTTAGTTCCATTTGCAGAAAGCTGAGGCACTGCTACTGGTGAAATGCAAAAACTACATGGGATGAGTCAACCATGCAAAGCCAAAGCAACAGCAGAAAAAAAAAACAAAAGCAAGTAAAGGCTCTTACTGTGTGACAAGCTCGTCAAAGTTTTCATCGGGGTAGTATTTGCGAGGACGGCCTCGTTGAATATGGCGGCCACGTATAAACTCTTCATCATCAACTGTCCAAAAGGACCCAAACTCATCCTCTACTCTGATAAAGCACTTATGCAGTGAGAGGTTGGTGCGAATGGCACCCTGGGATAGGAGCAGCAGCAAAGGAGATGAAGTGGCAACAAAAGGAGACGGGGTTGGGGGCAGAACAGACATCCAATACAGGGAACAGGAAAAAGAAAATAAAATGCAATAAGCATAAGCAAATGGTTTGTGAGGGTTAATATGCATTGCCACCTAAAAGCTACTAGCATGTGATGCAACAAAGACCAGCAAGCAGGGCAGGGGACTGGTGGGTGTACGAAACAGGAGGGATGAGATGCTTTTTTGCTTCCCTTGACTGAGACAACGTGACACCAGCTCTTGGATCTAACACCGTCTAGCAGCCAAAGCCTCTATGTTACACTTGTTAGCACAATCCAAGCTAGGCTAAGAAGTTCAAACATGGTGGACGTACCCACTGATCTTTTGTGGCCTTCGTTTTTGGAATTCTACTTCATCCACTGTCCATACTGCCCCTTTAACGTTTTCTACTCGCACAAAACACTTGTGAAGACTAAGATTATGACGCACTGCATTCTGCAGCAAGTATAAAAGAGAGAACATTTACATTTTCTATAAGAAAAGTCTCCAAACACAGCAGTACATTTCAGCCTCACATTTATAAAACTATCCCCGCCCCGAAACTGCAGCTACCACCCCTCCCCCAAGGGGGGGGCCCTCTGTGGTTGAGGGAGGGGTCTTCTAGTAAGAACCCCAGTTAGGTATGAGTTGCACTTTGGTGTTGTAGTCTTCTCTCTGGTAATATCTAACCAGAAGAAATATTTATAATATTCATATAACCCCCAAATAGGTTGTATATTATGACTCTGAAAATACTGTCAAAATAATGACTTCAAAATAAAGATATAGATTAAACATAAAACTATATCCTTCAAACCATGCAAGATGAACACCTGGTTAATACTGTTACATAAATAGCATCTAGCTTTGGAACCCATGTGTTTTTATTAGGGAAGACTTGTAGATAGGGTGTCTACCATTGAGAGTATGTTTAGGAAGTTATCCCAGAGGATAAACTCCTAAAGGATCAGTATCCACCATCAAAAGATGTCTTACCTGCTGGAATGTATGTAAGAGTTGGGGCTTACTAGGAATAATTAATAATTAAATTAACTGAACAGATGCTGAGGAACACAAGAGTAGGACTCTCGATGGCAAAAATGATTCCATTTCTGCAGCTGATGGTTTGTACAGAAACACAGATTTAAAAAAGCACTGCTAAAAGTGGTGCTGTAGCTCAAGTGGTAGAGCGCTCGCCTTGAGCTGAAGAGCTGAGGGACAGCGCCCAGGCCCAGAGTTCAAGCCCCACTACCGACAAAAAAAAAAAAAAAAAAAAAAAGAAAAAAGCACTGCTAAGCTGACACCCTTCATGTCCACTCTGCACCACAAAGAGGGATCCTGACTATAAAAAGTAAAGAGCTTTCTTAACATCTCATTTTCCCTTTGACTTTTAGGAGAATGTACGACGACATTTACTGGGTACACAACAAGGTTCCATTTCTTTAGTTCTGGCTGATTGAACTTGGTGATCCAGACTTCATGTTGGACACAGAACTCATATCTATTTGAAAGATCCTTCTCAGGAAGAGTAAGTGGAGTCCAATGGGGCACAACGAGTCTACACACCCATTGTCCCTCACATGCCTTATGAATAAACCCTGATTCTGTTCTCATCACAGTGCTATGCTCAAATACACCCTCTCTTGCATGTCGTGTTGGCTCTTTAGAGGGTAGCAAATCTGAATTTATTTGGGGGAAACATCATAATTGTTGACTATGAGGATTCAGGCTATGAAATAGTTTTTCTTCTCTTGTATGGAACACAGGAAATAATGAAGCTTCATACTGAAGCTACATGTATGGACGTGATGAACTAACTGCTCACTAAAAGAATCCACAGGATTCAAATTCAAAGAATTCTGGGGTACTAATTAGGGAAGGTTCATGATATCTTTAAGACTATTGAAGGATCCTTGAACTCTGGGCCTGGGTGCTGTCCCTCAGCTCTTCAGCGCTAGCGCCTCTACCACTTGAGCCACAGCACTACTTCCGGCTTTTTCTGCTTGTGCAGTGCTGAGGAATCGAACCCAGGGCCTCATGCATGCAAGGCAGGCACTCTACCACTGAGCCACCTTCCCAGCCCCATACAATGTTTTTCATGGGTCGCTTAAAAACAATGGTCCTGTCATGCCTGCAGTCCAGGGGCAGGTTTCTTTATGTAGAAATTGTACCCTTGACTTTTCAGTAGGTCATTTGTTCACTTTCTTGTACAAAGGTATATTAAAGGTGTGTTATTACATGTCAAACTACTTGAAGAAAATATAAATAAAACTAAGTTTTCATTAAGAATCCAAGCTAAATTAAGTTCATGTATAGGAAACAGAACTGGGAAAGAAATTATCATCATCTCCAATCACTGTGGCGTTTTAAAATAAGTATCAAAATTTATTGACGCTGAAAAAAATTAAGAAGCTGCCTTCATCTAAAAGAACTGATATAGTTTTTCCAGAGCTGTAAGAAGTAGAAACAATGAGAAATCAAGAATCTTAAAAAAAAAAAAAAAAAAAAAGACAAGTGATTTTTTTTTTTTTTTTTGTCAGTCATGGGCATGAACTCTGGGCCTGGCGCTGTCCCTCAGATCTTCAGCTCAAGGCTAGTACTCTACCACTCAAGCCACAGCACCACTTCTGGCTTTTTCTGCTTATGTGGTGCTGAGGAATTGAACCCAGGGCCTCATGCATGCAAGGCAAGCGCTCTACCACTGAGCCACCTTCCCAGCCACGAGAGATCTTTTTTCACTCATGACTCTAAACTGGGCATTTTGCTTTTTTCTTTTTTGCTGTTTGGGAAGCCTGAACTCTGGTGCTAGGCACTGTTCTTCAGCTCTTCAGCTCAAGGCTAGTGCTCTACCACTTGAGCCACAACGCCACTTCTGGCCTTTTCTGTTTATGTGGTGCATAGGAGTCAAACCTAGGGCCTCATGCATGCAAGGCAAGCACTCTACCACTGAGCCATCTTCCCAGCCCCCGCCCCCAACTTTTTTAAATTTTGGTTGGTTATGGGGCTGGAACTCAGGGTCTGGATGCCATCCCTGAACTCTTTTGCTTAATGCTAGTGCTCTACCACTTGAGCTACAGCACCACTTTCAGTTTTCTGGTAGTTAATTGGAGATAATACTCTCACGGTCTTTCCTGTCCTGACTGGCTTTGAACTGTGATCCTTAGATATCAGATCCTGAGTAGCTAGATTATAGGCGGGAGCCACCAGTGCCTGGCCATTTCACCTTTTGTATTGAGATCACAGCTCCAACAGGGTCACAGAAGGAAAACTACACAGATTTATGACTTCTTAAAGCCTTCACCTAGGGTTGTTTATATTGATGTCATTTTTCCCTCTATTTGGTAAAACTAAAAAAGTTTTATGTAAAGATGGGATTGGCAGCTTTAATTCATACGCACAACTGGCAGTTATTTTTAAATTTGATCACTTGGCTTTTCCAAAAAGCAACTTGAAGGAAAGTCTCTGCTTCATGTTTCTACTTCCTAAATTTTTAAAACATTCATAGCTACAGATCTTTTGTATTTCATCCCCCAAGGCAGGCTGAGGAAAAGGGGAAGATTCTAAACATAGTTTCTCTGCAGTCCCATGTGTCTGATGAATTAATTCTATGCTTAGTTGCTGTCTTTTAGAATGCTATTTTATCATAACCTTAGCAGAAGAAATGTATTTTGGGTTTTTTTCCCCCATTTAAAATTAAGGTTATAGCAGGGAAGATATTTATTTGAAGCAAAGTAATTTTCCTTATTATCGTATAATAAAATATAAACATCTTCAATGTTTGTGTTAAAAAAAAGTCTAATTGTTTTGGGAACTTCAGGGATTTTGGTAATTCCAGCTAGAAAAAAAATTAAAAACTCTACATATCTATGCATCCCTCTTCCATTTTTTTTTTTTTTTTGGCTGATAACAAAAGTAATAGACATCAGGGAACCTGTAAAAATTTGCGAGACCTTAATCAATACGATGGAGTAAAAATTTGAATAATTTCTGAACCGACCGATGGGCTGGGAACAAGGTAGGTCACATGACCCCAGCATTAGCACGGGCCATCACACACAAAGCTAGGGGAATTAGGGGACTTTGACCTGTTTGGTAGCAATTGGTTTTGCAATTCAGTCCCATAATCCAGAAACAACTTTTCTTCTTCAGGGTATGAGTGAAGCTAGGAGGGATTGTACAATAACCGAATAAAACAAAAGGGATTTTTTTTAAAACCCCAAACCCCCAAACTACACAGTGTTCTGTTAGAAGCATCCATTTAGAGTGCTCATATGTGGATTGCCTGGACTTCTCTGCTAATGGGGTTGATGAACTCTGATCCAACTAATGAAGGTCATATTCAGTGTTGTCATTTGATCCAATTTCCTAGATGGTGAAAATACAAGGTACCCCTGCAAATGCTGGCTGCAGCTAAACCCCTATCAGGGTGAGCCTTGTGTAAGTAAGAGATTGAGCTCACTGTGAGCAATAGCATCAGACTTCAACCACAGAGTGACTTCCCTGGCTGGCCTGGGCACACTTCGGCTGCCAGTGATAAAAGCTCCTTCAACCACAATGGAACCCGTTTCCCCATCCAGTATTCCTGTCCGCTGGATACTCTGAATGTATCAAAATATTATAGATATAACATTCTTGTGGCCCAGTAACTCCATGAACCACCTCTGTTCTATAAAGTTTAAAATCCAAGACTACACAGGCCTGAGAGAGAGAGCTTACCTTCCACGTGGCTGCATTGCGTCGGAAGTATGCGAACATTCGTGTGAACCAGTTATAGATTTCATTTAGTGTTAGCTGCTTTTCTGGAGATTCAAGAATGGCCTGCAAAGTAAAGAAAGCATCAGAACATGATAATTTATGATGAGATCGGCAGAAAGTCACCATTATACCCTTTCTTGAAAGTATAACATAACTGATTCAGAGCTAGATACTAAGAAAGGTTTCTGTAGAAGGATCTAAGATTAATGATTGTATTTAACAGTTCAATAGCAAAACTCAAAATGGAATTATCTAATTGTTTTGAGTTTTTATTTCTGTTTCCGTACAGAAATATTAATTTATTAGTCATTCATAAAGCAGAATCAAAGAGAAATGCAAAACATTTCACTAGCTGATTAAAGCTCAGTAATTATTTAGAGCTCAGATTAATTCTAGGGATCAGAGATTACTGTAGCTTGTGATAATTGACTTGCCATCTTTAAACAGGCTCATTTTCACTGTTGTGTGAAATGAATTTTCTAATAATCACATCGTATTGTAATACTTAATCAAAAGCAATTATGTTATATATTGCAGTTTTAAAAAACCTTATAGAAAAGGTTTCAGCATGCTTGCATACTAAACGGTTTTAAATCTACTCCATCAATATAATAAATTCATGTCTGCATATACCTTTTGAGATCATTTCACGATGCTGTTGTTATTGACTTACCTGCCTAATTAAAGATGCATACGTGAACGGTGGTCTAACTTCTGCGTTCTTATAAAATTCTTGGTTCTGCGCAATATCTGCTAAAATAAGGATCGTTGTTCTGTTAATTACCTTTTTTTTTGGTAAAAACAGGGGGCTGGCGAATAGAACTGCGGGTGACATTGCCTGCACAGGAGGTGGCAATGAGGTAGCTACCTGAAGAAATGGGCACGTTGTATTTGTCTGAGTACCGCCTGCGGATGGGTCCCACCGAATGCATGCTGGTGGTGGTGATGACGGAGGGGCCTTGGGTGACGGGAGTCAGAGGGGCCGTGGGGGTGGTTGGAGTATGAGGTAAGCTCTGTGGAGAAGCCTCGGACGCGGACTTGGAAAGTGTGACGCTTGATACCAGATTTAGCTGTGAGGAAAAGAACACCGCTTAGGAGACCTTCAGAAAAACACAACCATCAAGAAAAGCATCTCCCCTCCCTCCCTCCTCCCCCCAGGGGAAACAGGACCCACTTGGGAAGTGCTATTTCTCTAAGAAGGCATGCGTATCAAGGATTCACGTAGAATCTGGTCTTATCTCTTGCCATGCTCTCTCTTCTTTTCTAAAGGCTGCCAAATGGATGTTTACAGATGCAAAGAGTTATCTAGCAGGCTGAATCTGAGAAATCCTAGGTAAAGACATTTCTGTACTCTCAAGGTTTCACTCTTGGATGAGCATGGCAATGCTCTATAAATCTGGAAGGAGAAGAGGCAGTGGGTGGGGGATGTTCAGTACCACAGACCTGAGCTTCCAACGTGCAGCTGTATGACTGGGGAGCTGGGTTTACTCAATTTTTCTTTCCTCTTTGTTTTTTCTTTTCCTTTGTCAGTTGTGGAGCTTGAACTCAGAATCTGGGTGCTGTCCCTGAGCTCTTTTGTTCAAGGTTAGTGTTCCATTACTTAAGCTACAGCACCACTTCTGGTTTTCTGGTGGGTTCATTGTAGATAAGTGACTTTCCTGCCCAGGCTGGCTTCAAACTGTGATCCTCAGGATCTCAGCCTCCTGAGTAGCTAGAATGACAGGCATCACCCACCAGTACCCTGTCTCTAATTTTTTTTTTCTTGAGTGGGGTTTTTATTTCATTTTAATGAATTTAAACAATATGGTGGCTCAGAGCCACCATATTGGCCACAAAAAGTCAGGTCAGTAACACAAGTCCTTTAAGAAACTGAATGAAGATGGCAGGAAGCAAGTGTTGGGTCTATGGCTCTTCGTGAAGTGCTCACAGTAAGCAGACATGAATTTTCATCCAATAGGGGACATAACCTTTGCAAAGCCTTTGTGTGATCTTCATGAACCCAATCAAATACAGAACTGGGCTCTATTTAGGAATATAACACACTCTAGATGTTGAACCCTAATATTTTTGAACATCCCACAGAGGAGAATGAGCCAGTAATAGTCTGACTTACTGTTTATCTTGTCTTAAACTTACATTGCTGTTCTTACAGCTAGTGGAAAGGGACAACCCTTTTCCAAAGTTTGCTGCAACAGAAATACTATTCTCACTTTTCACAGTGCAGAAGCATTTTGGTTGTTTTAAGCTTGTTAATCACTCTTTACCCAGAATGGCTATCTCAGATATAGACAGAACCTTCCCCAAATTGAAGAAATTTCAGCAAAGCACCAACGTTTTCTCAAATCAGCTTTCAAATCACACTTTCCTACGGTAAGAATAGTTCACCATCATTTGAGCCGATCTTAGGCACAAGGCATTATTTGTGGAAGGTTTTAGAAATGAGAGTCCCTTGAGCTCATAATCAGAGTCTATTATAAGTGGGTTTTAACATGCTGGGAAGATTCCACCTTTATTCACACTCCAGAAATAAAAAGGGCTATGAGAATTCTACCTGTCTGATAAGGGCCAAGGGAAGAAGAAGATGAAGAGGAAGAAGAGGAAGAGGAGGGATGGGGGAAGAGGAGAAAAGAGGAGGGGTGGGAGAGGGAGGAGGAGGAAGAAAGAAGAAGGAAGAAGAAGGAAGAGGAAGAAGGAGAAAGAGAAGGAGGAGGAGGAGGAGGAGGAGGAGGAGGAGGAGGAGGAGGAGGAGGAGGAGGAGGAGGAGGAGGAGGAGGAGGAGGAGGAGGAGGAGGAGGAGGAGGAGGAGGAGGAGGAGGAGGAGGAGGAGGAGGAGGAGGAGGAGGAGAAGAAGAAGAAGAAGAAGAAGAAGAAGAAGAAGAAGAAGAAGAAGAAGAAGAGGAAGAAGAAGAAGAGGAAGAAGAGGAAGAAGAGGAGGAAGAGGACGAGGAGGAGAAGGAGGAGAAGAAGAAGAAGAGGAGGAGGAGGAGGAGAAGGAGAAGGAGGAGGAGGAGGAGGAGGAGGAGGAGGAGGAGGAGGAGGAGGAGGAGGAGGAGGAGGAGGAAAAAACATTGTTAAAGCAGTAGTCATGGGAAAAAGGCAAGTTGCATGAGGCAAGGTAAATGTTGGGCAAAGTGTTTTGACTTCTGCACTCCTTTCTAGTTTCACTGTGAACTGTTGTTTGACTCGGCATATGGTATATCCCGTCTTCCAAGGCTCAGGACACACAGGCTAGGGCCCTTACTGACCTCCAACAAGTAGGGCACATGGGGTGAGTTGCCCTGTACTTTCCACCATGCTAGAAACTTGGCTTTTGTGACCTTCATTTGCAAACCAAGTTCTAACAGTTCAGGGTAGCAGCCCAGGGCCAACAAGCCAAGGTGGGAAAGAGTAGAGACTCACTCCTTCTTAGTCTCAGGCCATCATCACTGACTAAGTCTAGGACCAGGAGGATAAGCTAGCGTGAGCCAAAGCAGATGGTCAAGGAAATTAGTGGAGAAAGCTCAGACATATATAGCTTTTTAATTCCAATGTTATAAAGTCACATCAGTTTGTCAGGAAAAACATTTGCAAAAGTCATGTTCTAAAACACCTGCCCCTGTGTTGATAGCATTTGATTTTGTAACTGACAAGGAAGTTGTCAGTCGTGTTTCACCGAGAACAAAGTGGAGGCTTGGTGAGCTGACACTGCTTGGTATGACTCTGGATATTTACTTGTATGATTCTCTACCCTTTGTACAACCTTTCCACACCCACTGTTTAAAAACCAACATTCATAGCCAGGTTCAGTTTTCTGCAGTTTTGGAAGCAATTTAGCACATAGCTTTTACCCCTGTGCATGAATAAAGTTCTATCAATAGTACTTTGCGTTTAGTGGAAACAGGAATTTGTAGGACACTGTCCTCAAAGTGCTTGCCATCAAGAGTTGATATGGCTATACGCAAATGAGGGCACGTGCGCATGTGTGTGTGGGCGCACACACACACGCGCGCGCACACACACACACACACACACACACACACACACAACCAATCCCAAGGATTTACTTTTCTTCTTGGCTTCACCACCCAGCTAATGAACATTTTCCCAGAGTAACTTTCATAAAAACCTAACGCAAGTAGGGCACTGGTGGCTCACGCCTGTAATCCTAGTAACTCAGGAGGCAGAAATCTGAGGATCCTGTAACCCAGAAAAGTCAGTGAGAGTATTTCTTTCCAATTAATCACCAGAAAACCAGAAGTAGCTTTGTGGCTCAAAGTGGTAGAGGGTTAGCCTTGCGCAAAAAGTGCTCAGGGACAGCACCCAGGCCCTGAGTTCAAGCTCCAGAACCGACAAAACAAACACCAATAACAAGCACAAAGTCACTGGGTTCTCGTTTCATTGTCCAAACTGAAAACTCATAAACATTGAACAAACTCAAGCCCGTCTTTGTGGGTGTTCACATCTAAAAAGAAGAGTTAAATGGATCCACTGGTGCCCATGCTATCAAATATACCAAGAAGGAGTACTCTTGCAGCTTTTGCAAAAGTCTGCAAATATAGGCAATTTCTAGCAAAGAAGCAACAATAGACAGTAAAATCTTTGCAGGTTAGCATAATCCCAGAAGAAAGACCTGTGTTCTGGATGCTTTTGGACACAGGTAGAAAGCAGAATTAAAACACTGAGTCAGAAGGGAGCAGAGAGGGGTTTACCAGGCTTGACAAATGACACCATGGTTCACACCCACTGCTGGGCTGTCTCTAATAAGCCACAGAGGAAAGAGCCAATCTCAGCTAATTACCAGATAAAAATGTATCGTAAGGACTCTAATTAGGAGACGTGGATGGAGGTGATCTAATGATTAAATGCTGCATTCGAGTGACCCCACCATCAACGTGCAGTGGTGTACAAGATGTCACTGGAATATTTTGTAGAAACAGTAATTTTATCTCAAGGAGGGGAGGCAGTAATATTTGTAATGATGGCTATGAGGTAAACTAATTAAAAGACAGTTCCTAGAGGAAAAGGGTGTCGGAGAGCAGCTGTGGCCATTCCAAACCCAAGTGCCAAGTCTCAATAGAGGAGCTGCAGTCAAGTGGAAAATTTCTGCCTGACCTTTGCCCTTGCTATTAATTTGCAGGAAAACTAATGACACATATACATATTCCCACAAAATTGTTCTAATTGCTAATTTGCCAAAGGAGCCCAGATTCCAAATTAAACATGACTGTAGCCTGGAAGGGAAAAGGAAGAATCAAAAGCGGTAAACTCCAAACAAGAGGGTGCTTTGCCACACAAAATCATTTGAAGACTGAACCAACAAGTTAATGAAATGTCAACCCTGTCAGCTGCTATACAAGTTGCTTAACTTTTCAACTTTCGTCTGATCACATGCTTGTCTCAGGGAGCCACCATCTTTACCAGGGGTGGAGGTGCGGAAGGAGGGGGTGGGAGGAGAGGGAGAAAGAAGGGAAAGTTCCAGATGGGATTCAAAACATACTGGGCTCAAATCAAACCTGCTTCTTTCAATCACAGTCTTAAAAAAATAAAAACCAAAAACAACAACAACAAACTCAGACTGCAAAAAAAAAAAAAAAAAAAAGGACAAGAAACAAAGCAAATCGAAACCCAGACTCAGAATGGAAAAACAAATTGGCAACAGTGCAATTTTGCTGTAATCATGATATATTCATCGAAATTGTAAACCATTAAATCTTAATATAATCATTAATTACCAAGGAAAGCATCCATGCTTAGTGTTTCTGATTGCAGTTAAGGATTGAAAAGTGAATTTTTTTTTTTCCAGGGCATGGAGCAGGAAGGGATTGGACTAGGAGGGTGGCTTTTCCTGATGGAAAGCCCATTTTTCTCATTGTGTTCATTTTTCTATTTCAAAAGAAGTTGCTATGTTTAGAAAAGTTAACAACTTTGAATACTTTTTTTTTTCATGGCACATTTCCATACTGTGATGACTTTGGTAAAGATAATCTCTTTGAAAACTCTGGCCAAAAGATAATTCTTATTGTCACTTAAAATTGCTGTAGCCTTTTGTTTTTTTTTAAACATAATAAACAAATAATTGTGCTCTTACCAC